TTCAGTCCGGTCCTTCAGGTTTCCTGCTCTCTGCTTGTATAGAAGCTTTCTTGAGACAGGGCTTGGCAGAGAAGCAGGTGGCACTGAGACATTGCTTGACAGACCATGGGGCTGGGGGGGGCTACACCCCTCCTTGCAACGTTCCGGTTTCTGTGAGACGCCCTGAGCGTGCTCCACGTCCAAAGCGAAGAATGTGTCACCATGGAAAAGTCTGAGGGCAAGGGCAGGTACACCTTCTTGGGGTTTGCTCCAAGCTGCGATGGACCTGGCAAGCAGAGTGCAACCTTTTTTTCTCTGTGCGTCGGCCAAGGACGTCTGGATTTTCCACACACAAGGCGCGCATCAGCTCGTTGCAGCAGACGTTGCTGCGATCTTTTTACAAAGCCTGTGCATGCAGCTACGTTGAGGCCCCGACTGGCGCATGTTGGTCGTGAAGACCGTCGCCAGGACCCTGGCTGGGAGTATCTTGCTAGCTTCCAGGACTGCATCACGAACCGTTGAGTGTGGGCATCCTGTTGGGTGTTGTGCATCTGAGGCCACAGGGTCACACTGAGCCACTGGCATGACTAATTTCTGGAGAGTCACTTGGAAGAGTTTCAGTCTTTGCTGGCATTACGCTCCCATTGCCGCGAGCGTGCACTGAGGCTGCATGTAGCTGTACAGAGTCGCAATCCGATGCGCTGCCTTTGCTGGAAGAAGTTCAGTCGCTCGGCCTTGAGCACGAGAGCGTGGACAAGGTATTCGCCGTATGTGACGCTGATGGGCATCCTGGCAGCAGTAGCAATTACACCTTCAAATAACTACTTCACAACTTTACTCCAGTCATTCCCAGCCCTGCGAGCTCAGGATGGAAATCCGATGCCTGGCTCAATTCCCTTTTAGCTTCAGAAGCTGATCTCTAGCCATTACCATCCCTGACAGTCTGCCCATACCCTGGGTTCTGCTAAGGAACTGTAAAGGATGGACCTCCTAGCCGTTGCCTGCCTTGGCTGGATTTTTTTTGGTAGGGTTCAAGCTCTACTCGCTGCCTTGCTGAGTGAGAGTCACACTGCTCACGCCAAGGTTTGCATACATTTGAATATGTGTCGTCCAGAACTCAGATGCAATTTTCTAGCAAACCATGCCCTGTTGTTATTAAGCCCTAAACCCTAAATAGGAGTTTCCATTTTCTTTTCCAATATCTCAATATAACCCCAATATGTACCCTATTATAATTATAGTAGTTTCCATTTGCTTTTCCATTCTATATAATATGTAAGGGCGCACCTTGAAGGTCATCGCAGCCAGAAGAGCTCCCTCTTGACGACTTGCCGCTGCTGAGCGTATCCCTTGAACCTAGTCCATGCTCAAATCCTCCAGAAGCTCTGCAGCAGAGCCTTCTGTGCATGCTCAACTTGTGCCCTCAAACAGCTTACTTTGGCGTGTTTGGCAAGGAGGAGGAGGAGCAGGAGCAGAAGAGCGACAGAGGTGATGAGTCAGACGATGCTGAGGAGGCCTTCCGGCGAACTTAGTGCACGGAATGAAAGCGGCCTTTTCAGGAGGAACCTCTTGAAGAGATTAACGGATGGCTAATGTGTAGCTTGCCTGCAAGTCACGAGCCGTCAGACTGCGCTGGCAATGTGTCCATGAGGGGCGGATGAGATTTTGGAGAGCTAAGGTTATGGTGAACCCCATGGAGGGAACCGCCTGCAGGCCCCTTCACCCACCGAACGGCATATTCCGGGATGAGGTTTTGAATTCCTGGGGCAGCTTCTTCACCTTACGTCAGCCACAGTCTGAACTCCGAGTATTCTCTGTAATAATTCTGGCAGTAGTCCCCTACATAACTACATGAGCCATGGACATGGACTAAATTTGTCGTATATCCCTATATAGTCCCCTAGAGTTCCCCCCAATCTAAATTTAGTCCGTAGCTCACATAATTCCCTACATAACCACCTTCAGGAGTTTAGACTACAGCTCACATTGGCTTTAGCAAAACAAGGTACTGATACGACACCTGTCAATCCTCATTTTCCGAAACAGTTGAGATAAGATTAGTAATAGTAACAATAGTAGGGACGGTTGATGATGAGCACAATAGTAGTAACTATAACTTCAGTAATAGTACAATTTGTAATAATAAGAATAGTAGTAATTATGATAGTAGCAGTAGTAGTAGTAGTAGTAGTAGTAGTAGTAGTAGTAGGCCTCGCCGCGTTAAAAGGACGGTGGTTTTTGAGCCTCAAGGGCTTTTGGCCCTCGACAATTTTAGAGGAAGACAGGAAAGTA